TATTATTTTGTAAATGAAATAAAATAAAATACATTAATTACATCACAGGATACCAATATGGTGTCTTTGTCTGCATGCTTGTGTTTTTTAAAATGATGAGATATGTCAATTCCCTTTATTTATATATATTATTAAATATTTAGGTATAGATAGATAGGAAGATAGTACATTAATTGTAGAAATATCATTTAAATGAGCTCTTATTTTTCAAAAGAAAAAGAAAGAAAGAAAGAGCAAAGAAATCAAAGAGTGAGGACAGAGAAAAAAACCGAGAAAAGTTTACAAAGGAGGTGGCTATTGACTTTGGGAAGGGATGAAATTTGAGTAATTTGTTTTTCTTTATAAATTCATTACTGTAAATTGATCGGTTGAGAATTGCCAACATTTTTTTTTATTATATCTCTGGATATGGGTGTAAGTGTCTTACTGATGTTCATATTTTGAAAGAGAAGAAAGATACTAATATACATAGTCAGTCTTTAATGCTATAGAAGTTGTAAAAAGAGACTCGGTTAATGATAATGATAATAAAAATGGCATACTGACCACCAATGACATTAGATCGTATAACAACTAAATGTAGAAATCTTTTTTATATATGTAATCAAGATTTCATTGAATTAGATAAGGCGAAGTGAGGTAAGATACGGCTGGAATAAGTTGGAATAGCTTAGAATTTGTGAGTGATTGATGTTAACTATTGTTTATCGATAGCAACAAAGAGCCTTTCTTTTGTAATTTTGTAATTTTGGGCATTGGGCATTTTATTTCCGCAAGCACCCAAAATGCTATTCGGTTTTTTTGTCTAAATACACATAGTCCCTTTTTAGAATGGCCTTCATTTTCTTTTTCCTTGTGTGAACCGATGCTTTTATACACAAAGTACATATACGTCATTTACAAATTTTTGTTTTACCTACATAATAGCTGTGTTGAAACATGATTTTTTTAAAATAACAAAGAATGAAGAAAAAAATATTGGTTTGGATATTTTCGATATGTTTATATATATATATATATATATATATGTATGTACGTACTTATGTGATATGTATTTTGGAATGTGTTAAAATGATAAAGAGCAGAATAATTGGAATTTTTTTTTTGGTTGTTAAAGAAAAAAGGAAGAAGACAGTAAACTATTGTGCCTTTATTTTCACTATTGGGATCTAATCGTTTGATCAAAATCAGTAATTATAAATGCAGAATAGATACATACATAGTAGGTATCTCTATAAAGTAGAATGTAAGTAGAAAATCATTAGTAGTAATAAAAATGAACAAGGGAAGAAATCAAGAATAGAATAAAAAGGCAAATAGGGCAAAAAATTGATTTGTATTTTGTCAAATTATAATTATTATCGATATTATGATCATTGTTATTTCTGCACAAACGATCCAATTTAATTGATCTTTCACCCCCACACATCTACCCCTTCTTTACCTATCTCTCTATCTCTCTATAGATCTATAGATTTATTTATCTCCTTTCATTTCTTCCCTTTTTTTTTCTTCTTCTTCTTTTTCTTCTTCCAGCTCCCTTCCCTTGTGCATGGAACAGTTGTACTTTAAAGACTGTCTGAAAATGGAAGCACTTTTTTTTCTTCTCTTTTATATTCTTTTCTTTTCCTTTGCTTTCCTTTGCTTTCTGCTATATTCTGTATAATTCTACGTTAGTTTATACTGCAAAGGTTAAATTACTATTATTTTTTTATCCTATCTAAAGAATTACATCCCAGAGAATATATATTGTGTTTGTAGTTTGTACAGGCAAAATATCATTATTAATCAGTCTAAGCAAATTTTATTCTCTACCGCACACACACTCTTATTTTATTTGCTAGTAAGACAAGTTTATGGTTATTAATTTTCAATATAAATAAATAAATAAAGTATATATATATACATAAAAAATAAACATTGGTACTAGCTATATTTAAAGTCATATATATTACAAAACCAACCTGGCGACGCAATAGAAAGAGAGAAAAGAGAGATTTTGAACTTATAGTCTGATTTATGTAAACCAATTTACATTAGATTTCAAAATAAACCACAGCTTTGACAATCGATGCTAATGGTGGTTCCAGAAAGGTCTTGGCCAAGTATAGTATACAGTCTGTTTCAATAAAAAAAATCCTATTTTCCCTTTACTGATACCACCACACATCATAGTAAGAAAAACAAACAAACCAAGAAAAAAATACATCTACACACACATATATATATATACGGACATACAGATATACAGATATACAGATATACGCATCTGTATGTAGTATATGCTTAATTAAATAAAAAGGCTTGAAAAAAAAAAGAAGTAAAAATGCATTGTTAAAGCATTTGAGTCCATATTCTTGGGCCTCATACCAATATCTCTTTATATTTTTTTAAAAAATCTCAAGGCCATTTTGAAATCCTATCCCTTTCATTTTGAGTGTTAATATGTAGTAATTACATTCTACAACTCAATAGACTCAAAAGTTATAGTGTGAGTGTGAGTGAGAGTGAGAGAGCGAGAGAAATTATCAAACACACACACACATACTCTGTCTATCTGCATTTGTCTCTGACTACCTTACTTTTGCTTTTACTTTTACTCTTTTGTCTTCTTCATATTCATATATTTCTTCATCTTCTTAAAAAAGAAAAGAAAATATATACCCATATACATATACATAAAATAAATATATACGTAAAATACTAAAATGCGACCCAACACTCTGTTTGGTATTTCAGTTTACCTATTGTTAAGCGTTACATGGGTTCAAAGTCAAGACAACGAAAGATCTAAGGATGGCGGAATCACGATTGGCCTGGACAACAGTGTCATTCCAGATTCTTCCGCTGAACACCCAATGGTCATCTCACACCCTGATGATCAACCACTCTGCACCCCCAAGGTTGTTATCGAACCATCGCAGCCTCTCAAGGTACTCGATGGCTACGAATCCTATGTACTGGCCAACGACATCAAGAATCCTCGCAAAATCATCGTTGACCACGCAAACCATATCTTGGTCATTTCTGGGACCCAGAGTGTTTACTCAGTTCGCATGGATGAGTGTGGAAACTCGGACTCAAAGCAGATTCTCAGCAGTGCTCAGGTAGGCGATCAGCCGCTGGGCGGCGGAATTGCCCAGGCAGGGGGTCGGATCTACATAACCACCGCAGACTCGCTCTGGGCATTTGATTATTCTGATGGCCAGCACACTGAACTTGGAAATGGTGTCATGATAATCGATAACATAAACCCCACCGATTCAAAACAACAACAGCAAGGTGAAGGAGAAACTCAGTCAGATATTGCCATTGATCCTTTTGGTAAAGGATACGTTCCACGGTCAGTCAAGAGAGTGACCGAAAGCACAGAGGCTAAGGATGCGATCATCAAGCGGTTTGATTTAAGCGACTTACCTGATCAACCATTGGATTATGAGAATGATGGAGAAGTAATTTGTTTTCTTTAGTAGCTTTATAGTTTTAAAAAAAAGTTATGATTTCTAAAGCAGTGTACATATTATTATTACTTTTTTTTTTAAAAAAAAAAAACAAATAGGTTTTTGCTATTGGTACCAATACCCACGGATATATGGGCTTCGATGCTCAGGCAAGACTTTGGGGAATTGAATTATTGGCAAACATCATTAAGCGACCTGATATGTATGGAGGTAATTTTATACGTATATACGTATATGTTTATTTTATGACAAGTCCAAGGCATGAAGTAACAATAATTCTTTTATTGAATGCTGGGTTCAATAGATTTGTATCAAACAGGATTAGCTACAGATATCAACCTCTATGATTCTCCATCCAAGAATTATGGATTTCCGTATTGCTTTAGCGAGTATGATCTGGAGCCAAACATGCCTGAATCTAAAGGAAAAGGCTCACAATGGGTAAGCAATGTGATGTATATATATATATTACATTTTATTATTATTATTATTATTAAAGGACCAAAAAAAAAGAATGCCTGAATCTCATACTAAATATATATATATATTCTTTTGCAGGGTCTTCCAATTTTTGCAAATGAAACTGGAAGTATAGACGCTTACTGTGAAAACATTAAAAACAATCAAGGTCCTGCAATTCCAATTCCTTCCAATACTCATGCAGCCGGGATATTCTTTTACATGGGCAACTTTTGTTCAGTTGGAACGTCTGACAGTCTGGGTACATCTGTTGGGCTACCCTGTGACTGGACTGATACTCCTTTAGTGGCCTACCACGGCGTGGATGGAAAGGAAGCAGGTCACAGCGTGGTCCATCTTCCTTTGAACGATCTTGGTCACAAACCCGAGTGGGACAAATCTGTCGAGGTTGTTCTGGAGGCTGAAGAACCGTGTGGAACGTCTGATGACAAGGCCTGTATTGGCCCTGTGGGCTTGGCTGTCGACAAGTTTGGACGCCTGTTGGTCTCCAGTGACACGACAGATGAAATATTTATTGTCTACAGAAAGTACAATGAAGATGCAGCAAAGGAACTAACAGATGAAGCCAACAGAAAGGAAGCTTTTGCAGATCAGCATTCCGACGATGAAGATGAAGTCGAAGTCGAAGTCGAAGTCGAGGGCGAAGAAAATAAAAATGGCACGGATACCGAAGTTTCAGATGGAGAGAAACAAGAAGAAGAAGGAGAAAATGGGCAGGAGGAAGAAGAAAAGCCAGTAGTGTCAGGAGAGGAACCAGTTGAGGAAGAGAAACAAGTTGAAGAAGAGGAAGTCGAAGAAAATAAAGAAGCAGATGAGTAGCATGAATAACATGCCCTAGTAACTTTTAAACCATTAGACTTTTGTTCATTTTATTTTTATTAATCTTATTATTCCTTGTTTTATTTGGCTTGGGTTTTTCATTTCGTTGTTTTTTTTTAAAAAGAAATATATATTTATTTATTAATGTATACAGCAAAAAACAAAAATGATATTTATTTATTTATTTTGTTTGGCTTGGCTTGGCTTGGCTTGGCTTGGCTTGGCTTGGCTTGGGTTATACTATGTAATCTGAATACGATCTGCATCAGTAGGACAGTAAATTGTTTCATTACGGTCGAATATCATTGGAGTGGTTGGCTTCTGGGCACTTGTTAAAAACATATTGCGCCTAATTATGGTAGTCAGAGTACATTCTAATTCTTGTAGATATTACATGTATATATGCTTCTTTAAATTACCAAAGATTCTTAGAAATCCATTCATGAGCAATAGCTGAAGGATGAAAGCAATCTACATTACTATAATACCAAGTGCATATACGCACACACATACATACATATATATATATTAGATATCAATATTTTGCAGATTATATTTTTTATTGACTAGAAAAAATATTGTATTGGTTTAATTTACCTTATAGCATCAATTGGGAAGCTTGATATATCTGCTGGTAGTGGCTGGTAAAATATTCCAAATGTTTCATTTGATAAAAACTTTGGATCCTTGTAGTATGTTACAACAGATTGTAGTGCAGAGTTGTAAATAGGTAGCAAGTCATTTAAGATGGTTCGATTTTCTGCAGTGTGCGCACATCCACACACTTCGTTTTGAAGAGTAAAGGTAGATATGGGAAACGGGTGGCAGTATTTTGGATAGGCTTGTGTCTCTACAAAGATCTGATCAATGTGAAACATGCCAACTTTGTACAATTCCATCAGTATTTTTTTTTGGTAATAAAAAAAAGGGAATACATATATTATATATTAGTGAGACTTGATTTCATTCTTCAATGTTTCTAATATGATAGATAGACAAATGTGATTTTTTTCTCTTATTTTTTCTTACCAACTTGAATAAGAACATAAGGAACTGCCATGCGAATCCTCTCAATTGCTGCCAAAACATCAATAGAGAAAGTCTGAGGCATAGAAGCAGGAACAAAACAAGAGTGACACAGGTCGTTTGAGCCGACAAAGAATGTCAGAAGTTTCCAGTCTGTTGGCTGAATTGTTTTTGCTTTGTAAGCATCGTCAAGCTGTTCAACCAAATAGTCTATTTCATGATTTAAATTGGCACTGCGAGCACCGGACTGTGCTGCATTGAGTTTACCAATACTTGGTCTATATTGCCCATCTGGACAAAACGTAGGACCTAATTTTGTTGTTGTTTTTATTTTTGGTTATTAAAAATTAGTAAATATATTTTATGATTTTCCTTTACAAAACTTTAATATATAATATCATGTAATGCAATCTAATGTACTCACCAAAACACACTGTGATAAACTGAGATCCTACTGAAGATCCATACAATTCATGGGAGTAATAATGAATCAGATTTGGAATAGTTATGGCACCATCATCCTAATAATGCGTTAATGTTTTTTATTTTTTGTTGTTGTTGTTGTTGTTGTTTTGTTTTCTTGAGGGGTTTTCAAACTAACCCCTCCCATGGCAAAGGAAATTCCTCTGTCTTCTGATAATGTCTTTGGGCTCAAGAATCTTGTTTGTACTCCTTTTGCTCCAAATCCAGCCATGACACTACACAAGCACAAACAGAAGCAATCGGTAAAAAAAAAACATTGTAATCAATAATGTCGGTATATATTATTCCGGGCTTCCATTTCATTCTGTATACAATTTTTTATTTACTTTTTCGTGTTTTGTTGCTATGTTACATTATGTCATGTCATGCTTGTTTTATTTTATTTAAGCTTTTTTTTATCTTTTTATATGTTTTTAAGCTTTTTTTTTACCTGTCTCCGATACCGGCCACCACACGAATGTCATCTGGTCGAAGGTCCCTCACAGATTCTGGTGGTCCTGGACGTGGTGTCAATGGTGTACAGGCAAGCTGGAGTGGTAAAACTGGTTGTGTAGCTGTCGGCATTGTGCTGATCAGAGAAACTGCAGCTACCGTAGTCGACATTAAGGTTGGAACCAACAGTATGATGAAGAACAGAACACATGTCGGCAATACAGTCGACAGGGCTAGAAACAGCGGAAGCATGGTCGCACCTCTTTCCAAATTAAATCCTACTTTGTCTGAAGAGGGAAAGGTTCTAGGCGTATCTTGTGCTGTAGATTCTAATGCGGGTGGTGTAAAAGTAAAAAGGCTATTTCCTTTAACATAAAACATAATATACTTTTTTCTTTCTTTCGTTTGTGTGGGTGTATAAATTATTTGCGGTTTTGATGATAATAATAATAATAAAAGGAAATAAATTGAAACAAATTTAACTAAATTTGGTTGCAACTTATTTTTAGCTTTATTTTGCATTTTGCATTTTTTATTTTTCTGTTGCTGCTTATATAGTACTTGCTTCTTGAGGCTTGTAAGAAGCTGATAAAGGAGGAAGAGAAAGAGGAAGAGGGGTGGAGGATGGCAGAGACGAGGAATAAATAAAGGAGATTTGCTTTTAGCTTCATCACTGATTCTAGTATATTACGGGTTTAATTCAATTGTATAAATAAAAACATTAATGAATTGTTTTATTTTTATTTTATAATATTATTGCTTTATATTAAGCTCGTATGCTTTACTGTCAAACGATATAGTTGGACACCTGTAGCCAACGCACTAAAAGGTACCAAACAGCTATCTGTGTCTTGTGAGTTGTCGGCTGTCAAAAAGCTTACATCAAAGTGCTCGCCACAGAGAGCCCAAAACCGCCTTTCGTCTGCTGCCTCAAATCCTCTGCGCTTGTATCCGATGTATATTCTGGTTTCCGAGGTACTCAGGTCCACAAAAGTCTTTACTAGGTCTTCAAAGAATTCGGATTCATAGAGCACATCTGAAGCCAAAATCACATCTGCCTTTCCACACTCGGCGGCCTGCTCTAAATTACCCCAAAGCAACGGCTTGGTAGCAAGCCTAATAGTAGTAGTGACAGAAGAAATATCATTCGGTTGGTCTGGAACAAGATATTGATTCAAATCCACGTTCTTGTCAATAAGCGCCAAGGCTTCGTCGAGTTCAGTGATCGTAATTTTTCCGCACTTTACTTGGCTATCTGATTCTTTTGTCATTAGACTGGCAAGATAAAGTCCCAAAAGACCTGTTCTAAAGATACATTATTATTATTATAAAGATAAATTTTAATAATTAAAAACTTAAACAGGTTTATCTGTTTCTTGTCTTTATATACATATACATGTGTATATCATATATGCTTACCCTGCACTCAAATCTACAATATGTTTTGAGCTTAGGTATTCAGGCTTCACGGCTGCCATCTTCTTGAGCACATCCAGCATTACCAGCGCAGAATCCCATATCTTTCCGGGTATACCAGAGTCCCAGGACTCGTGAATGACCACATTGTTTTTTGTGTTAAACATTCGATAGGTATCATACACCATCTCAGTTGTATCGGGCCATAGTTCAGGTGGGGCATATGTATTAACTGACGGTGACGATGACGGTAAAGAGGAAGAAGTGTCTTTTCGAGATAAATTACTGTTGTTGCTGTTGTCTTCTACATAAAGAGGTCCAACCACAAGTGGTAAAATAATATCCATTGGATCAGGGTTTTTGTCGTTTTGCTGAGGAAATTTATCAAGCTTTGTAGGATAGAACCGCAAGTAGTGACGGGGTTTTTGGGATTGAACTGCATTATCCAGGTTTGAGGTTACTTTTGCTCCTGACCCTTCTCCTGACCCTTCTAGTGCTTTCGTTTTCGTTTGGGCTTTTACTAATCGATACTCCAATGCACCTCTACCACTTGCTTGGAAACCAGGAATTTCATCGAATTGATTCAACAGAGTATTGGTCCTCTTGTTCCAGGTGTGTGCGGGTCTGATTTCAATTTTCCATTCGGGATCTGCTTCGAGTGGAGCCATCTTGCTGTGTCTGGACTGTAGAATCTCGCATCCAATCTCTACTATGCCATCGGGCTCAATATCAGCACGCCTGAAAAGACCGACTTCATTGACCAGCAAAAGGTCAGCGCGGTACCATTGATTGACAGTGATGTTGGTTATCAGTGGCGATCGTAGATTTAATCGGTACAATGCAAAATGAGCTTCTAATTTCTGACGAAACTCTTCATCGGTCAGTTTATCCCTTGAAGTAGAATCGACCATTGACAATCAAGTGTATGTGTATATATATATATATATATAATTATGTGTGTGTCTGGGTTGTATTGTATTGTGCGTATATGTCCAAAAAAAAACAAGCAGTCCCTTGGGCTATTCGAAACTTTGAACCTGTGCAGTCTGACCTGCATTAACGTATTCTAAAAAACGATTTCGGCATTTTAAGGTATGGTATTATAAATTTGAAGAAGCAAAATATAAATAAAAAAAACAGGAGTCGTTGGGATATACACCTTCTCTTCCTATTGATTTACAACAAGAAGTACCACATATATTCCACGTAATGAAGAAGAAGACTATATAGTAACCGACGTTTCTATAGCCAAAAAAAAAATTAATTGGAATGTCATAAACTACATAAATGAAATACACCACTAAAGAAAAAAAAACTTTGGAATACAGAATCAATATTTATGGATTTATGAGCTTTTGATTTTAATTATAATTTTTTTTTTGAATTTGATAAAAAAATAAATAATTAAATAGTAATACTTGTATATTTAAAGAAAATACATTCTATTCTTTTGGAGGCGTTCGTGTGTTTTATGAGTGAAAAGAGATAAAAAAAAAAGAAAGAGATAGATGAAGAAACAAAAAACAAGAAAAATGTTGACGATTATTTGAAGGATGCGCTGTAGAAGACCAGGGCAGGGACATTTGGGAAGAGCAAGGAGATGCTCAGTACATTATCCCAGTTTCCAGCAACGGCCTTTACATGTTCAGGTACAGCCATAACCAAGTTCTCGTGAAGCTGATCCTCAGTCAGACCAAGGTGACCAATTTTTGCAGAGCTAAGAAATAATGAATTGGATTAGATTAGATTAAATTCAACACATTGTCCCTGACATTTTTTCCCAAAGGATACCCCATTCCATTCAATTCGATTTCCTTTCCTTCCTTCCTCTAACCAGCCCAATTAACCAAGTACACACACTTACAACATATTGTATATGCTGTAAAAATATAATTATAATATATGATAACTTACGTAGTGGTAGATCCACCATCACGAACAAATGAAGACCGGAGGACCTTCTCGATTTGTTGCTTAATGGTTGTGGGTGTCAATCTTACAGGGTTGGGGAACCTAAAAGAAGTAACAATCATGTAAGCACACTCTATTCCAAAAACATATATATATATATGTGTGTGTGCATGTGTGTACCCACTATTACTATCTCTATCACTTTCTCTATCTCTATTATTATGATCATTACTTGTTTCTCTTCACAAAGGTGGAACCGAGTCTGGCGGGCATAAGATGTGTAACGTTATCGGAAACCAAGAAAGCATCGTAGGAACCAGCAAGCTTTCTCCGTGCCTCATAGGTCTTGTAAGTGGTCTCAAGACCTTTAACATCAATAACCTAAAGAATACGCAAACAAACAAACGCATAAATATATATTAATTTGAATGTTTGTTTTGTAAGTGTAAACGTCTAATCTCTGACATTTTCCTCTTCTTTTCTTCTTTAAAGATAATAATGCCAATCTTACCTTTGAGACATTGGCAATTTCGTTGGTCTTGATAAGGTCTTCCCATTTTTCGACATTATCCTTTACGATCAAGCATACATCGGCATTTTCAGGAAGAGGAGAGTACTTCATAGGCCTATTATGTGTTTTTTTTTAAAAAAAAAAGTTTAATATGAAGATAAAAATTAAGAAAGCATAATTACAAATATATAAGGAACAATAAAAACTAGAGTAGATCTTCCAGATCTGTAGACTAGCAATGATTATGTTACTTACAATCTCTTAGCACCAGACTTGGGCTTTCCGGAAACCTTCTTAATGACAAGCTGGACATGGACAGCAGGTTCAGAATCGAGCAGATCTTCACTTGCTTTGGCTTTGAAAGTCTTGTAGAGAGCCTGAATGGCTTTCTTGGCCTAATAGGAGCAGAAATTTAAAATTTAAAATATTATAATTGTTAGATCAGAATAAATGTATGTGTGTGTGTGTGTTTTTTTTTTTAAAAAAAAAATATTTAAAAAAGGTTCGAGTAGGTAAGCAAGATAAGCTTGTTGAGTCATTCTAGTGTCTACTCCTCCAATGTAAAAGAAGTAATGAGCCGCATTACCTGTTGTTCGTCAAATTCTTTTGCCATTTTGATTTTCTCCGTTTCTTTTTTCTTTAATTTAAAGAAAACTGTTGTATGAAAAAGTTCAAAAAAAGGAAGTAGAGGAGGTCAAGCAATTGATGGATTACAAGCCACTTGGCCGTCACCTCTTTTACCCTCCCCTCTCCTGCCCTCAACTTTCTCTCTCGCTCTCACTTTTATTTTTTAAATATTAGAACGCCGACTTTCCAAAAAAGGGGAGTTAGATAAAAAGTCCGTGTGTCTGTCTGTCTGTCTGTCAGTCTGTCTGCCTCTCTGCCTTGTGCGTGTGTGTGTCTTTTAATTTCTTTAATTTTTGTTTTTTTGGAAAATTTAAATATCAATTTGAGAGAGCTTTATCAACATCATGTGGAATTCTTTGAGGAAGAAGCCATTTAAATTGGCTTCCTTGGCCATTTTACAAATAATTGGTCTTGGCTTGTTTTGTAAAGGATTCTTCCCTTACAAAATTCAGATTGCTGGTCATGCCACTTACGAATCTACTCCAAGTTGGCCAGATGACAACAGCCAATCGCGTCCTTTAGTAATTGAACCAGAATTTGACCGTCTTGTATTTGTGGTCATTGATGCCCTTAGAAAGTATGGATTTTTTTTCGTCTTCTTTCTCTTTAATATATCTGTATATATATATATGTGTGTGTGTTTGCGTTTGTTCGTTTGTTTTACTATTACTGATATGATGGATCTATCGAAATTCTAGTGATTTTATTTTGGGTGAAGACTCAGGGTTCAAGTTTGTAAATAGGTGTGTTGACATTTATCTGTGTTTGTGTGTCTAGGATATATTTATTAATTACATAATTATGATGTATTTGTTTATATACAAAATAATAGTCTCATAGAATCAAAAACTGCTATACCATTCACTGCACGAGCTACAGCACCAACTGTCACTTTACCTAGAATAAAAGCACTTACTACAGGTAAAGCAGAATATACTATCTTGTGGTTGTGAATATATCTGTATATACATAGTAGTTTATTGAGAATATTTTAAAGCAAATGCAAATGCAAATGCAAAAATAAGATTTTAAATTTTCTGATTTTTGCGATTTGGGATTTTTCTAATTTCATGATTTTCTGATTTTTATGATTTTTTTATGATTATTGTTTTTCTTCAGGGACTATACCTAGTTTTCTGGATGCGATTTTGAATATCGCAGAATCTGACACGAGTTCATCACTTGAGCACCAGGACAACTGGGTGTATCAATTGAAACACCATTGCAACAATACGATCCATTTTTTTGGAGATGATACTTGGATCCGTTTGTTTCCTGGGTTGTTTACAAAGCAGGATGGAACGACTTCTTTTTATGTATCTGTAAGTAGAGTAATATATATATATATATATATATATACCAATAACGAATGAATGAATTAATGCATATTTTTCTTATTAGGACACAGTACAAGTTGATTTGAACGTTACTCGTCACATACAAACAGATATGACAGTCCCTGACTGGAACACTATGATTTTGCATTATCTTGGATTAGATCATGTTGGACATCTTGGAGGACCTAAAAGGTAATATATACATACATACATGTATTGATACAAAACATTAATGGGTCTAAATCTTATGACCCACCTCCCTTTATTTACTTACTTATATGCTTGTTGTTAGTCCTTTGATGAAACCAAAACAAGAGGAAATGGATCGTGCATTAGAACAAATTTATCAACTTGTAGCCGAGCAGGACTCAGAACGAATTGTAAAAGACGCTAATGCGAAGGGAACCTTGATTGTAGTGTGTGGAGATCATGGTATGAATGAGGTCAGTCAGTTATTAAGTCAATTAGCTTGTCAATTAGCTCAAAAGAATATATATCTAAAAAAGAAAATGAAAATGAAAATAACAGGAGAGAAAAACTAATCAATGTTAATGTAGGTTGGAAATCATGGCGGATCATCCCTTGAAGAAACGTCAGCTGTAAGTAATACGATAGGCACAAGAATAGCAATAATATATATATATATATACTCTTGCTGTAACTGTAACTGTAACTGTTACAATTACTATTTGTATTTGTATTCGTATTCATATTTGTATTATTACTCTTGAGTGTGCGGAAGTTTACTTACTTGACATGAATTAATTTTTGGTTTTGGTATTATTATTATCTTTTGTCTTCTACTTATTAAGGCGCTCGTGTTTATGAGCCCACGATTTGAGTCAAGACCTGTATTGAAGAAGCATTCGACAAGAGAGTTACCTGAACGACCTAGTGCATTTGGATTTCCGATTATTGACCAGATCGACCTGGTCCCTACATTAGCGTCCGTATTAGGATTTCCTATTCCAAAAAACAATCTTGGAAAAGTAATTGTTGATCTTTACAGAGGAGACAAGGGTAGGTATGTGTATATAATTTAATATACATATAAAAAAAATTATATATATATATATAGACATATTCAAATAAGGGAAAAAAACGTACTTACTTATGTCATACACTGTAGACTCATCAATTCTAAGAGCTCTGCAGCTCAATGCTTACCAACTTGGGCAGCTGTTATCAAAGTCAATCCCTGAACCTTCAAAGAACACTGAAGAATATTCAGTTGTATTTGGTGACAATAGTCGAAACGAACAGGGGTATGCTAGAGCAGTTGCGCTCCACAAACAAGCTCTCGATGACATCAAAAACGAACAGGCTACAGAAACAGCCCTCAATGCATATCTTGAGGTAAAAAAAAAAAAGTTTTGTGTGGGTCTTACAACTATACCAAATTAAACTACACCAAACCAAACCAAACCAAGCCAAACTATACTATACTAAACCAAATTAAACCAAGCTAAAATATACTAAATTTTGCCTTGTCTTTCTCTATCTCTATCTCTATCTCTATCTATCTATATTTGTGTATACATGTATTCCTCACTGTGTGCTTGTGTATTTATAGTTTATTGAATATGCCCAATCGTATCTTGTGGATACATCTAGTGATTATGGGCTTGGGTATATGCTGACAGGGCTTGGTTTGATCTGCATATCTACCATACTACTGGTTAGGTTGAGTTTGACACCTGAAAGTGAAAATTCGTGTCAAGAGCATAAGAGCTGGTTGCACACAAAGCTATTTGTTATGGTTTCCATAGTTGGTTACATCGCAAGTATGTTTGCGAGTAGTTTTGTTGAAGAAGAACATCTCATCTGGTACTACTGCTTGCAAACTATTTTTGTCATATTGGCTCTCCAAAGGTAAATACAAAATACAAATATAAAAATATACACCTTTAAGACAACCATAATATATATATATATACTTGCACAAACAAACAAACAAATTCATAATGCTCTACTAACATATGCGTATTATTCTCTTAAAAAATGTGTGACAATCATATTTTATTATATTTGAAATTTTCTATAAAAAAAATAACTAGCTTTACTTCTATTGGAAAATCACTCAAGGAGCAACTCTTGGCTGCCTTACTTTCTCTGTCACAACTACCATTATTGCGCCTTGCTGCCGCGTGGACCCAAATCACACCCCTGGTTTGTCCGACATTAAAATGGCATCTCTTGGCCTTGTCTCTGATGCTGCCTGTTGTGCTGGCCGTCCGGGCCCTGACTAGAGTCGGCCAGTCCAAAAGACTAGTCGATCTTTCTGGAAGTGCTGGTATTATCCAGACGATGTGTAAGGTTGTGCTTGTGATGGCAAATGGCTTTACGGCCACACTCGTGATGGCGTACAAAATCAGAGCGGAAGAAAGTGAAAGTGAATTAGTAGAGGGAGAATGGTCAGACGTTCCGAGAATGTACAAAACTATCCTGGAACTCGGGGTTCTGCAGCAGCTGGATCAGGTCGAATTAGGAAAACTGATATACAATTATGGAGGTGCAACCTTGTTGATGCTTAATGCTGTTATCTACGTCAGTAAACGAGCAACCCTTCTTAACGTAGGAAAGCCCAATGGTAAATATAAATATATTATATATTGGTACTAAAAAAAACAAAACAAAAAACAAAAGGGAGGTGGGAGGGTAGTAATAGGGGTGTATTGTTATTTACTATTCAACAACCAGAAAAAAAACAGTGCTTTTGAACTAATTACATTAATTATATTATATATATCTTTTATTGAATATGTATAATAGATGATCGTGTGGGATCATTTCTTCATATCTTATTATATACTAGCACGCCAATTCTGCTCCTTATCTCTCGATCCCAAAATGCGTTTTTGTTTTCAGTCTATGCTGTCCAGTTTTACCTACTGGAGCAATGGCAGCGCTCCTCTATGCCTGTGCCTGTACCTCCTTGGCTGCTTGGTGCAATCGTTACCTTATTTAGTCAGGCAGCGTTCTTTTGTACCGGCCATTCGAACTCTATTGCGTCCGTAGACCTCAGTAGCTCGTACATAGGTGTAGATGGCTACGACCCTCTAGTCATCGGCCTCTTGACCTTTTGCTCCAACTGGGCCGGTAGTCTTTGGTGGGTTCTTGCTGGCTGGGTACTTGTGACTGAAGAAGTCTCCCTGGAGAAAATCGAGCATCAAGACAGTGTCAATGACATTGTCAACAACAAAAACAAAAAGAAAAAGAGGGATGCGGATGTGGATGCGGATGCGGAACTTCGGTGGTGGAATTACAGCGTGACACTCTCGGCTGTGTCTGGATCGTTCCTTGTTGCACTTTCTCTGTCTGTCACATTGCTTCGCGAACACCTTTTTATCTGGACTGTGTTCTCGCCCAAATATCTGTACCAAGTAGCGTGGACGTGTTTGTTCCACTGGTTTGTGCACATGTTTGTGGGAAGTATTGTAGTAAGAATATGGTTTCCATGGTCACAAAGGCAGCATTCAGAAGAAATTGATGAATCAAATGATGCCGATAATAATAATGGTGATCCTAGTGATATTGATATTGATCATGGTAATGATAATGATGATGATAATGATAATGGTAGTCATGGTAACTATAGTGAACCTGAAGAGCTCGAAGAATTTGATGAGCTTAATGACATTAATGAGCTCTAATGACAATCATTAACCAAAACGAAAACGTGGGTGACAACAAGAACGAAGAGAATCAAAATAGAAACAGATCCGAGATTGAGGATATCGGTTGAAAGGATGTTAATAAATAAATTATTCTGATTACATGTTTGGGAGTTTAATTAGCCTTCCATTTGTAACAGATATTTTGATATTTGATATTTATACTATTCTTTTATTTTAATAATAGAATTTTGCTTGTGTTACTTTTTTTTGTACTTTTTTTTTAAAAGAAAAATTGACCCAAGATAATGGATATTTTGTTTTTTGATTTGTGATTTTAAATAAAAAATAAAATATAAATTGTAAATTATGAATTATAAATTATAAACTATCTATCAATTGAATACCCACTTTATCAAACCAATTTATTTATTTTTGTATTCTCAATAACAGAAAATATGCCTATTTTTGCAATAATCCAAATAAATATGCGTATATATACTAACACATATAAGTATCTACAAGTGATCAAGTTACACTCAATTGAGCTCCCAAATATAAAGAAAGGGTTGAATATATAAATAAAATATTGAAATCGAAATCGAAATCGAAATCGGTTTATTTACTTTCTGCCCTACAAGAATTTGTATTTTGTATTTTGTATTTTGTATTTTGTATTTTTTATTTTATTTTTTGTAACCACTCTAGACTTTAAAAGGTTACAAAGGTCGGTCGTCTTCTTCCTTGGGTTTGGCTCGGATTTTTTTTTTAAAGCTGTCTTGCAAAATATATAAAAATAATATAAAAATTCAGGGGACGGATTATGGGGGGGATTAAAGGGAGGTTGGTGATCGCTAAAATGTTACTTCTTTTCTTTTAGCCAATGATAATACATTGTAAGACAGTGATGGTCGTCTTGTAACTCGGTTTCATGTATACAGCTGCGTATATTCCCAGACTATAAGATATATACATGCATAAATTTATATATATAATAGTTTATGTAACTATTCTTTAGATGCCCTTTACAAGCAATTAATTAAAATCAATAAATAAATAATCAATTTTATTAAGCAATTCATTATTTTATACATAAACTTTTGTACTTTTCTTTTGGGGGAGTTTTTTTTTTGGTTGTGCGTACAAAAAAAATGTCTTGATACCTCGAGATTTTTGTCTAGTTAGATTTATTAGTCTAAGGTTTGGTGTACCTAATGACTATTCTTATGATTATTAGCATTATCATTAGTATTTTTCGATATATAAAATATCAATTTCCCTCACAATAATAATAATAATAATAATAATAATAGCATTAGTATTTTTCAATATATAAATTATTCATAGATAAATTTCTTATCTTACAGAATCCCTTTGAATTGTGTCATAAACGGAGTACTCTTCATATAAGGATTTCTTATTATGGCTGTCTCCGAGGAGGCAACTAGAGAATCAATTATGGGTGTACACTACTTTAAAGAAAACAATTTACCTTTTGATTATAGATACAGATAAAATATATCTATCTATCTATTTATTTATATAATGTATATATTATTATATATAGATATTAGATATATTGGATATTATGGCCATAAGAAGAAACGAAACCCATACGAATACGTGAAACTTTGTTGAGACACAATCAAATAGTATATATTATTATTATATAGTATAGAAATATTAAGGTTTTATTATCATTTTTTTGTTTTTATTTTTATTTTTATTATCTCAATTTTGAACTTGTAGATTCAATCGATTTTCCCATTATGTATTTGTCTTTAGATGATGAGTACTGTTGTTATTTAATTATTATTATCATTTTTATTGAATTCTTGTTATAACAAAAGAAAATGAGAATTGAATTGAATTGAATGGAAACAAAATGAATGAAAGGAAGTTTAAAACAAATAAAAGGAAGGAATAAAGAATGTATAAAGAAGATGGATATAGAACGTAATGACCTGCAAAATAGAACTGTAAATAAGCATATAATATATATATATATATATATATATATACTTTTGTGAATACTTGGCATTTCCTTGAATAGAAAGCTAAAATTGAATATAAAAAAAGATAAAGACAAATGTACAAGATAATCATAATCATAATCATAAGAATAAGAATAAGAATAAGAATAAGAATAAGAATAACAATGATAATATATCACAAAGAGAAATTGACTTTTTCTTTAATCAGCTTTAGCACGGCAGCACCATGATAACATCCTGGGTCAACCTGGAAATGTCGTCTGCGAGCGTCTGATCGACTGAATTCTTTTAGACAACATGGGCACACATATGGTTTACTTCCGGTGTGTAGACGATCGTGTCGCAAGAGATCATATCGGCGTGAGAATGACTTTGTACAATGTGAACAAGAATGGGGTTTTTTGCGCTGTGCTTGAGCACAAACTTTATTGGATCGTTGTCTTTTTGAGCTTGTCTCTTCTGGACTGCTGGGAGCTGGTAAGATTTTAAGGTTGCTCTGGATATTGTGGAAATGGTAGTTCTGTGCAGGAGATGGTTTGATTTCTTGTTCAAGGTCATATTCTTGCTCTGAATCAGAATCTGTGGCAGTATAAAGACTTGTGGGATACAAAGTGCTTGTGAATGTACTCGGACTTGGACTTGGACTCGGACTTGGGCTAGGACTTGAGCTTGAGCTTGAGCTTGAGCTTGTATAGGTATTTGGATTTGTATTGGGGATTGTATCTTGCCAAGTATTTTCAAAATTATAACTTGAAAAGTCTGAGTGGTAGGTGTCAATGTATGCCATCATGAATGGGGGCTCGTAGAATTCAAAGGATGGTTTGACTTGGGTATCAAGCCAAATCATGCTGTTGTATTTGAGAAAGTCTGGGTAGCTTTCTAAGAAGTATGGATCTTCGGCAGTTTGAAGATAGATTGGCTCTGAGTATGTAGGAATTAAAGGCATTTTGATTTCAATATAAATATGAATGAATGACAGATAGATAGATATATAGATAGATAGATAAAGAAGTATGCAAAGTAGGATATAATATAGTAGAGTGAATGAAAAAAATATAAGAAAACAAAGTAAAATCAAAAGAGATATTGGATTCCTTTTATTGTGATTTACAAAATGACAGGACAAATGCCTTTTATATATTTTAATATTTCTTATTTTTAAAAAGAACTATTTTGTATAGATGTACGGTTTCGTCGATATGACGTTTTCTTATTTTCTTATTTTATTCTTGCCAATCAACCATCTTTATACGAGTGAATTTTGCTACTCTTAAATAGAATAAACTAAAGATACTAAAACAAGAAAACAGTCTTTCTTAGCATCAAGATTATTTGACTGGCCTTGTCTATAAGAAAATAACCCAAATTCTCAAGACATTTACATATCACTTCAATATCAATACTGATACTTCTGTACAGATAATGCTGATATGTACAAGATATATACTATATATTATTATTGTATAATATATACAAGGGCGCTATCATAGGGGTCTAATAAATACAACATAACGTAATGAACAAATAATACAAAAAAGATTATTATTATTTTAAAAAAAAAACTTAAAAAAAAAGCAGAACTCCTGTGATTTCATCGCTTTAATTTCGCACAAAATAATAACACTAGTAATTAACTTTATATATATATATATATATATATTGTGTATATGTTCGGGCAAGTATGTCTTTGATTGTCCTTTAATTTTTTGGATCTAGTATGTATATATGTATATATTTACTGAAAGCATTTGAAAGTCTAGGCTTTACAATCAAAGGGTTCTACACAAAAGCCAAAAAAGCTAAAATCCAAAAACAAGCGTAAAATGAAATATAATACAGTACAATAAATACGCGATGTAAGTTATTAAAAATAAAAATAAAGCAAAATTGTGATATTCAAGTATAAATTATAGCTGATCTTCTTTGAAAAGAAAAAGTAGGCGGTAAAAGATTTAAAGAAAAAAAGCCGTATTGGATTTATAATGTAATGTATCAGTCAGACCATTATTAATTTAATTGTTAAAATATTCATAGTTTATACATTTGACCCAAGAAATATTTATCGTTTACAAGAGAAATATATATGTATATATACATTTATGCATAAAAGCTACATAACTAATGATGACAATAAGTAATAGGTCAGGATATATAGTATCAAACCAAGACAATCATCAATTAACTGCAACAAAGAAATCATCAAGATACACGGGATGCCAAGACTTAATATACCTTTTCATTTTCATTATTGAGCAAAGCAGGGCATTAATACGCATGAGAGTATAAAAGTATTTTTGAATGTATTAGTGTATAAAGGTATAAATATTGCAAAATTCAACAACGCCATTTCAGAAAAATCGTATATTTATATATATATATATTTTATTTAGAAATTTATTTAGAAATTTTGTATTTACGTATTTATGTATTTGTGCATATTTACATTTATGGAAACTTTAAGAAAATTTGATCCAAAATATATATAGTAAAATGCAAGATGAGTGTAAACAAACCAGCCAAGCCAAACCGAAATAATATAAAATGAACCGAAAAATCAGAAATCTACTCCTCTCCTTTACCCAAATACAAATACAAATACAAATACAAATAAAATAAAATGGAATCAAAGCACAGTATTTTTTATCCTTTCTTAATGAAAGCAAATAAAAACAAACAAATAAACCAAAAAAATATATTTAAAGGCTTGTGGAATATTTATTAATTTTGACCATTTTGGATGTTAGTTATTTGACCGTTTTACTGATCTTGCTAAGAAAAGAAAGAAAAAAAAAGTCAGCAATTTCAGCTAGAAGCATGCATATACGTAAAAGATACCCGAGGTTTCATAAAAGACAAAGTAATGAATTTGTTAAGATTACGATAGTTACCAGTACCGTTAATTGTATTACTTTTTGCTGTTTGTTTGAGTGATTAAGTGATTAAGAACGCAAATGATTGAGTAGGTATTTGGGCGTTTTTCTTTAATGCATTAGGTATTTATATTTATATATATATATCTTTCAATTTATGTTTTTCATCTTGTTTTGATATATAAAATAGTTATAAGCCAACAATCTTAAAGACATGATTGATTGGCGAGAATAAAACCAAAAAGTCTTATAATTCATAAAAGACTCTTTCCTTTTTAGTTTGTTTGTTTTAAAAATCCAACTTATCGTGAATAATATATATATATATAAAATAAAGAAAAAAAACAGTAATAGTTGTTTTCTTTGAATTTGATTTAAATATAGAAAATTAAAAGGCATATGCAATTTTGAAAATCATATTGGCGTTTTGACATCTTCTATGGTATTCTGTCATATTTATAATAATATCATTTCTCTCATACGCAAAACCCACCATTATTATCCATATTAGTAATAATATTGGTGCCAGTTGTTGTATCTTAATACACGTTAAATAATACCTATAATACCCTTAACAGATACATGAATTGCACTATTCAGGACAAGGGATAGTAGTAATAGTAATAGTAATAAAAATACTTTTTATTTAAGAAAAAAAATGATAGGAAAGATATTGATAAAATATTCTATGGGATTCTCTGCGATATATATAAATTATACATAAATTTTACAGCTACAAATACAGACACGCACACACACACACACATATATATATATATTTAAGTTTTTGTTTTTGTTTAGTTTTTGGCTTCTATGTATATATATTAAGATTCATAATGTGTTACATTCTTACAAGCTAGGAAAAACTTGTCCTCTACGTTCTTTTTGATAATATTTGCCAATCAAGAATGCAACATCAAGTGCCTGCTCGTAGTTTAAGCGAGGGTCACAGTATGTCTGGTAGTTTGTAGACAAATCAGCGTCCTTGAGATCCATAGATCCACCAATACATTCTATAAACACACACAAACAGTCAATATACTTGGATAGACCTTTAACCCCAACTAATACTAGTAAAATTTGGTTGTTTGTACTAACCAGTCACACTGTCTCCAGTCAACTCAAAATGAACACCGTTAAGTTTGCTGTTGTTGTCCTTGTGTACTCGGAAAGCCTCAGACAGCTCTTGAATGATATCAATAAAGTGACGAGTTTTTATGCCACCGGTTGCGTTCTTGGTGTTTCCGTGCATAGGATCACACACCCAGACAGGAATGTGACCTGACTTCTTAACAGCCTTGATGTGCTGAGGCAAGTGCTTCTCGACCTGGCCTGCACCAAACCGAGTGATCAGCGTAACCTTACCGATGTGTTTGTCAGGATTGACAGTGTTGAGCAATTCGACGAGTTCGTCTGGCTTTGTGGTCGGTCCTACTTTGATACCAATAGGATTCTCAATTCCGCGCATGTACTCAACATGAGCACCATCCGGTTGTCTGGTACGATCTCCGATCCACAAGAAATGTGCACCGGCGTTGTACCATTTCTTTTCCTTCTTTGCCTTGTTGTCAGCGGAAGGAATGGTACAGGGCAACAGGCGAGTCAGAGAGGCCTCAAAGTCGAGCAACAAGGCTTCGTGGGACACAAAAAAGTCCACAGAATTCAATGCATTGTTGTTCTGTTGTCTTGAGTCTGCTCCAATAGTGCCCATGAAATCAAGAGCATCTGTCAATTGAGTTACGATCTGTTGATATTCACTTCTGACAGATTCAGACCGGACGTGGTTCAAGTTCCAGTTTGAAGGATCATGAAGATCTAAGAAATAATGCGCATTTAGTATATTGTAAAATTTATCCTTGTCCCTATCTAACTCTCTCTCTCTCTTTTTCTTCTTCTTCTTACCTGCAAAACCAGAGTCTAACAAGGATCTTACGTAGTTAAGAGTAGCAGCAGAATGAAAGTATGCGCTATTATATATATACATATATCAATAGTGAAATAAAATACATTAGCTTATATATTAAAGAACATATGTTTATCTATATCTTACCCAAGTAGTCTTTCTGGATCAGCATCACGATCTTTTGGATCGAATCCATTGACATTATCACCTCTACAAAAAATGAAGATTCAATTAAATCTCTTGACAGTAACAAAAGTCTGTAAAAATCTTGTGTATAGAACTACTACACAGCCTCTCCTTACTATTATTTGGTTACTCACCTGAAAGAAAGAATCTCTTTTCCTTCATACATCTCTGTTGGCTTGCTTCTGGGTTTTGCATATTGGCCAGCCATACGAGCAATGCGTACAACAGATGTTCTTGCACCCCAGGTCAAAACCAATGACATTTGAAGAAGTACCTTTAACTTTGCCTCGATGGGATCCTGCAAACCGAATTACGTTAACATTATACGCATATACATCAGTTGTATTGTTGTCAATTAGTTAATAATAAACAAAAGCTATATCTATCTATCTATCTATCTATGTATATGTATATGTACATACTTGAGAGCAATAGTCAAATAATTCTGCACAATCACCACCTTGCAATAAGAATGAGTTTCCTAATGCAACTTCCTTGAGTTGTTGTCTAAGGTTGTCAATCTATAAATTGTTGTTGTCATTAAAATTTAGATCGAGTCATTCAATATACATATTCTTATTGTATATAAAATGTCGTTTTCTACAAGTACCTCTTTTGCAGAAACTAATGGAGGAAGACGATCCAATTTAGACAAAACACGTTTGGCATGTTCTTGATCTTCGTAAGTGACATCTTGGACAATCGGCTTTGTCTTCCAACTCTCGGGAGTCCATTCATTTCTAGAGGTTTGGCTACTTGAGCTCATTATTATTATTATTATTTATTGAAGGAAAGAAAAAAGTAATAATGAAAAAGGAGTATTCAATATATATATATAATATATAAGTTGCTTGCTTTCTCTATAATCTAATCTGAGTTTTTTTTTAAAAAAAAAAATCTAAAAAAAAATTAAAATAGGAAATATGATGGGTTATATTCCAGTTCCGATTTTAAAATATAATAAATATATATATATATATATATATGTATATAAAACATACAAAGCCATATTTTTAACTTGGTAAAAACAACCCTGATTGGTTTGTATTTTTTTAAAGAATAAAAAAACGAAAGGGGGGTTGAGAGTTAACGAAGAAGGCAAGAGATGTACAAAGTACAAGATGTAGTGTGGTCTGTATATGGGATTGGAATCAAATAAATTCGTTATTTATGCAACTTTGTATTTGAAAAAAAGATGTGCGGAAAACAATGTATCTTTAAGATAGTTAGAAATCAATCGTATAACTGTATTATTTGGAAATCTCCTTCTTCTAGTCATACTCATTATGCTAATATATCTGATAGACTCATTGAGTTTTAGTCATTTTGAATTTTTTTTTTAAAAAAAAAAAAAAAAAAAGAACAAAAATCTTTGAAGCTTTTGAAATTTGCTCGACTTTGTTTCAGTAGCGCTTTGGTTGGTGTAACATTATGTCTTCCTTTCTTGGAAGGCGAGAAGGGATGGAGGTGGGGGAGAAAGGTGTGGGGGAGTGCTAGCTTGGCACATACAAGATAACGTACCTTGAAGACCAAGCTCGTTCAAAAAGAGTTTTTCGCCTACAACAGCCAGCAACAGCTACTTCTTCTTCTTATTCTTCTTCAGCTCTTGTAGTCTTTTAGTCTTCCGCTACCACCAATACCTTTCTTTTTTGTATCATAATTCGGCTTTAAAACCGATACACCGAAACCATATGTATAAAGCATAGCTCGGAGCACCACTTCTCTTATAAATATATATTTTTCTCTTTAGAGAGTTTATAGCCTTTGAAATCATACCAGCTACTTCTTTGATCAAGGGTTTGATAATATAGTTTTTGGTTTGTTCGTTTGTTCAAGAATACCAGTTTTTTTCTACATTTGTACATTGATAAATTGGTAGGCTATCGACTTTACGGTGACTATAATGCCGTTTAATGCATCATTTTGACTTGTTTATTTACTTCATATTCCTAGGCACCAATTCTTTTATGTTTCAAAATCATGCTTAATATTATACGCAATTTACTTCCAAAAATGAAGGGAGACATAAGTATATAGTATTGATTATCATTATTTTTATTTTCTCACAGTTTGTTACTTGTTGAGCATACATCAGCTATATTGGTATATAAAAGCAATTCTGGTAGCATGAATGTCGATGATTGTAAATTAAGCTCTTATAATCTCTTGATCTCACTTTAAGCCTCTTCATTTTTTTAGGTTTGTTTGTATGTATGGCTTATAAGCTGTAATAAATGAGAGGAACACTTTGGGATAAAAAGATCAAAATGATCAAAATCGCCCAGATTAAAGTCGGGAATGACTTTTGATTCATGAAAAAAAAATACTTTAGAAAGGCCCAGAAGTGTGTATGTGGCAAGAACGTGAAATCTCACTGCGAGAGACTTGAGGTAAGTAATATGTTGTGCTTTTGAATCAAATACCAGCAAATTGAACTCTGGACTCTTGTAATATTCCGATTTAGCTTCATAATAATAAAAGAAAGAAAGAAAGTCGAATTAACACCACTTTTTATATCTTTATTTTTTAAAGTTCTAGTAATAGACACAACAGTTAAAATTCAATTCAATTGAGCAAATCTGGTTGTTTTGGAAGAGCTAGATAAAAGAGATAGTGAACCAACCAGATCAAAGAGTCTTGCAATCAGGTATATATTAGTGGTATACAAGAAGTCTTTAACCAGCTCTGCCAACTGAGCAGAAAACTGTTTGAAGCACAATCCTTCATTACAGTCTTTTTTTTTCATTCTTATATTTTTAATATTTATTTCATGTAAATAAACCAAACTTTCAAATTGTACAAGATTGTTTGCCCACTTTGCACACGTTCTTTACTTTTCTTTAAAATAAATAAATAAATATCAAATTGAGATTGAACAATATTGTAACATCGTGTTCAGGAAAATATGCCTCCACCCTACTTAATTTTTATTTTTATTTTATAAAAAAATAATGATCCGTCCAATGAAATTGCATTATGGGAATATTGTATTACTTTGTCGGGGTCAGCCTTTACGCTGCTATCTCCTATATACCGATCATATCTCAATTGCTTTTGATCTTAATTTTTTCTACTATTTCCATTAAGCGTCCCCCTTTTTTTTCAAATATATATATTTTTTATAGATAATACATAAACAAACTAAGATACAATTATGCTGCTTAAAAGCTAAAGAAGTATATGTACTATAATCTGCAAATATAAAATCCGAATAAACACAAACACACACACACACACACAAAACCTCCAGTAAGACGATTTTCTCAAAAATCAAGACAAAGCAATAATGGGCGAGCATTGCGTTTGTTATTGTAGAAAAAAATGTAATATTTGATCAAATATCCAAAGTTAGAATGAAGCAAGTCATTCTGAAGGTCGCTCTACCGGTTCCTTCATGTAACAAGAAAATATCTCAAGAACTTTCTCGAGGATGAAAAAAAAATTAATCAGAAGACGAATGTTTATACAATAATTAAAAAAAAACAACAACAACGGTGAGAGAGAGTATATATGGCTATATATAATAGATATCATTAACAGTTTTGTCTAAAAACAGTAGAGAAGGCTTGCCTTACTTTTATAACATTTGATCTGTAAATTTTCAAAAGATTGTCTATTTGAAACTTTACCTCAATGCTACCAGTCAAACTACCCTACATTTTTCCTTTTAATTTTTACTTGCATTTCGCATGTCTTTAATATCATTGTTAATTATTCTTTATATCAAAAATAAAGTATTCTTGAAAAAAAAATTGCTTTTATTTTTCTCAATAAAATCGAAACTAATCAAAATCGAAATCAAGTATTTATTCAATAAACTTTAATATAATATATGTAAATATAAACCAAAACGCAAAATGGCGGGCATCGCGTATTGAATATACAGATATTTTGCCTTTCATACTTTTGATAAAAACAAGAAAAATAAATAATGGTTTTTACTATTCGTTAATAACGAAATAAAAGTCGACAATAAAATTCACTTTAATATTTTTAAATATTTGATAAAGAAGTAATGCTAAAACCAAAGAAAAATAGAGAGATAAATAAAGATAAACCTTTTTACAGTCAAAAAAAAACTCTTATTATAATTATTTATATTACTAATATAAATCATTCTATTTTTTATTATTATTTCGTGACTACTTTTCTAAGCAGTGGGATAACCAGGCGCTTTTGGATCTCACCCTGGATGTTGTGCGTAGTCAACGCGAAATACGAACGCAGACGATGCATTGGGACGATGCACGCGACACTTTTCTCCATAAACCCACTCACCCACAAATTCAGACCTTACCCAACTAACGACTTCATTCTGACGGAATGGCATGTCGCAAATCTTTTTATAAAACCAAACGTTGACACTTTTGATTCTACCGATCTTGTTGACGAGTAAATATGTACTCAATCTGACCAGGGAATTTATAGATGTCATCAGCTATCCTACCAAAAAACATAACCCGCACAGTTGAACTGCGATATTTTTTCTGTCCGCTAAAGAACTCCTTGCCAAGCAACGAAATATTCTTCATCTTCTTAATGCAAATGTTTACCAGCACATTCTCACCAAGTGAAATACTCACGCCGCAGAAAAAAAAAGAATTCTGGTAAGCCTTGACATAAAATTTGAATAGCCATTAAGAGTAATCATACTTCATCGTATTCAAATTTTGTAACTTCAACGGCATGGTAGTTGGTGGCAACGCTTTAGTTCCGATTACATTGTACCATGGGTTGTTGACGACTTGCTGAAGCATCGGGAGGCTGAATGGCAATGCAGGAAGATGGTTATTATCAATACACTAAAGACACGATAGATAAGATTCAGACAGCACTTGCGCAACGTTTTATGGAAAATTTATCATATGGAGCGAAAGATTAGTGGAATACATACGAAGAAAACATGTCGGTGAACGCCTTATCCAGGGAAACACTCATTAATGTCATCTCAAGACCATTGCGGTAGTTTGTCTTGATTTTTTTAACTTATCACTGTACCGCTCAAGGATATATATCCAAAATGTATAAACCGGACCAAAGTCAAGCGTCGACTCACGCAAGTGCATATTTGGTGTGATACTGCTTTTTTCGTAAAGACTCTGACATTATTTCCCAATTTCACCAAGGGGTTGGCGTGCGTAGTCTATATGTAAGTATGTGTTTGATGAGCCTCTCAACTTTCGGCATGTTCTCACAAGGTTGATCTAGTTTTTGAAATCCTTTTTGCGCAAAGTCTCGCTCAACACCAACAGCAAGTACACCAGACACCACAATCGCTACTCACCTGCCTTCATATATGGGAACCCAGGCGCGACTTTTTCGAACAAGACGGCATGTTCAGAAGGAACAGTCATATCATCAGCAAAGCGTTGCATACGAGCAATAACAGCAGCGGAAAAATGCAAAGCCATTTCAAACGCTGGCCATACGGTTTGCTATCACAAAAATATATTGTGCGTGAGATCAACAATCGTGTAAGCGGTGCAACTCTGAAAACTGCACGCCGTTCTGCTTCTCTGAATTTCTCTTTCTACATCTGATTCTGTACAAGACCACATATTGGTATATATCGAATTCATCTCCTTTGTCCGTGACCCCCAGCTTTCATAGTCGCCCCAACGTAATCGATCTTACTTGATGCAATAAACACGGAGAAGTATAGATTGAATTTATGACAACCGTTTGTGTTTGCATGTTATGTGAATCCGACAGCATTTCTAGCAGCAGGTATGTTGGAAGTAACACGCATTATAGCAGTATGGACAGCAGTACCACTAGGGAACTCGGTAGCCTTCGCAGTTATACCACCGTACAACTCTACCAGCTCATCAACAAGATTTTCCAGAAAATTGCCCATCTGATTATTCTCTGCTTCCTTTGGACCAGGCATGACACCAAAGAGGATGATACTTTCTGCTTTCATTTGGTTTTCCCTGAAAAAATTGCTGATCAGTAAATATAAAGCACCACCGGCATAAGTCCGGCCTTCAAACAGATTAACCCAATCCACATTCAATGTCAACATGAGATAATGGGTATGATTTACAAATGCCTCGTTGGCTTCATCGAGCAGTTCAGTCTAAATTGCATCATCATATACGTCCGTCATCGTACTTTCTATTGTTTTGCTTGATCCAGATTACGCGATTTAATCATCGAACCTGAGGCTGTGGGAATGTCGTGCCACGATATTTTCTCAGTAAGCTGTAAATAAATACCATGAGAGGGACTAGCTTCTCAATTGCTGGATCAACATACAGAGAATTACTGTCATATATAGATGGGGTGGAAGGTACTTCTCGGAGGAACAGTTGGATTTATGATAGCCTGGCAAGTATATGACAAACCGTTTGTTACAGATGGTGTACTTGAAAACGGGTTTTCTTCGTAAGATCGAATCCAGACATGATCTTTTATACATCAACGATGACATGAGAATCAGTATCCTTCTCACAGGTAACAAGAAAGTGCTGGGATAATTTCAGTGTTGAAGATCGTCCCTGCTTGAAATAAGTAAGACGCTTGAAAGACAACACCAAATAGAGCCATTAGTTGAGTGACTTATGGAATACCATCCATTTTCAAATATGGGATTACAAAAAGGCAAGTGTTATGATAAGTATCATTATTATCTGTAAAATGATTTATGTATATTTCTTTGTTCAATAGGTGCATACCTGAATCCATCGTATCTTTAAATACTATGACACCGACAATGTCAGCTTCATTCTCATCGTTGGACTCCTCACTTTAATCCGGATAGTTAATGTCAAATGACGATAGTGGTGTCTCAGTATCATACTCTTCTTTAAATTGAAAAGGTTTGTCTTCTATCAAAAAAAGTATACTATATGTGGCGGTTTCAGGAAATCTAATAGAAGAAATACCTTTATCTACGTTAATAAAAATAAAATAAAAATATGTTTTATACGATTTTTTTTTGGTCTTGGTTATTGAGATATATCAGTCTATTATCAATTTAATTAACTCTACTAAGCTTACGGTCTCTATTAGTAAGAATTACAAATTGAATTTTATATATATCTTTTAATATAATGACAATAAGGGTTATACTAGCTATCGATGCTTGACAATTCGTTGCAGCAATGTTTTAACTACTATTCAAATAGTGTTCAATATAAAAGTACAACACGTGTTGGGTGCATTTAATATTTTTGAGTAAAATACTTTTGGGTGTAATAATCTTGATTAAAATACCCGTGAGTAAGATTGATTATAATATTATAAATATCATTATTAATTGTACATCTAGCACACTAATTGTTTGTAAGTTTCGGTCAAGTCTCGACAGTCAATCATCTGATCTTTTTGTTAGAGCAACCCTTTCAATTTCGATATTTAACAAAAAAGGCGTTGGTATATATATATGTATATATATAATATTAATTACCACAGTACGGAAATACACGATAATCATTATTAAAACACGAGTTTAAAGTAGGCAGGGAAAGTACGCCAAAGTACATCACTAAGTACGCATTTTACTCTCTCGTAATGATATAGCTCTCGATACCAGTGTGTTTCGTTTTATATTACCAACCCAAGATATTATAATGGACGCCACAAGTACTTTGTAACTCTAATGTCTTGAATTCAAAAAATCAAATAGTAACCACGATAGTACTTGACATAACCGTGTGTATATTTGACAGTATAGAAATACTTATTTGTTTTTTTCTATCATTATGTACTCTTTATATTAACTTATTTTATTAACAGCTTCTATTGTATTTAATTTTAAAGAAGAAGAAAACAGAGTACTTGTATGTGATACCCAGAGTCAGATATACTCGACGTCTTCAAGAAATTATACTTATACAGTCGAATATTGTTTTCATGCTAATTGAGCCTCCACAGTTCTAATTAAAGCAAGAAATATTATCTTTGTTTTCAAATAGGCTCTTGTAGAGAACGGTAAATGTAATTGCGAAAATATTTACAAGGCAATTAGCAAGAAAAGTTTCATATTTATTTTACAGTTTTCGATGCACCCGAGTTGGTCGATATACTTTACATTCAAGTGGCTGCTGAAGAAAAAGAAAAAGAAAAAGAAAGGCGTATTTTTATACTAATGTGTCTTACATGACATGGAAATAAGCACTGGTGCAAATCATTAGGAGTACTGCTACTAAACTTTTCGACTAGTTGGCGGATGGGTATACATAAGAAATTATCGGTTTTGGTCGTAAATAAATGAATATGGTACATCAAAGGATACCATTCTGCGCACACACCCGCACTCACGCAAAACAATCGGATCCAGTACATAATCAAATAGCACTGGACTTATAGGTTTTTATATTTCTTACCATTTTATCATTTTTCATGAAAATAATTAAACTGCCAACACAAAGCAACTGCCGAAAAAAACAAAATAATATTAGTACAGTTGCACCTAACCAAAACTCATATACCACTACAGTCCTCATCGTCCACCACAATAGCAACGATTTTGCTAATATTGAAAGGCAATTAGTTATTCCTTTCTTTTATATTGTTTATCCACGCACACAAACGCCAACTGTACCAAGAATTAATTTGAGTTGGGTGCAATTTTAGACAATCCAATTTCTTTGTCATTCTTTCTTTCTTTATTTCTTTTTAAATTCAGTGCAATAGATCTCTGATTCCTAAAAAAGGATTAGAGAACACATAGAAACACCTATAGAAACAGATGATTTTTTAACATCAAGCAAAATACATCGACTCTTGTCCAGGGTGAAAAAACGCGTAATGAAGGATACAGATGAAGTATAGAATAACAATAATGAGAATAAAAAATGGTTGATACCTTTGGTGTGCGGGATGAGGCCAAGGTAATTTGATTGACAATAAACGTGAATGAGAAAATATTTGGGAGTTATTGGAGTCTCACTTTGACCTCCATGTGGTCGATGGTTTTAACCTCTTAAAATACATTACCATTGTTGTATAACTTATTTATTTTTATTACTGTTTTGTAATCGTTCCAAATTCTATCTACACAAAGAATCAAAATGGGGAAAAACATCGTTTAATTGTTGTGGCTCAAAATTTAAATATTATTTATTTATTTATTGAGCCATGTCATACGGAGGATAAGCCAATCGTTTACCTCTCTTGCGATGCGTACTGCCTGTTCATATATATTTTCGCAGGGGTGGAAAAATCTTATACTTCACCTCCTTGTAATTTTATGATTTTCTGGCTCTCTTCCTTTTTTAAAAAAAACGATTGACTTTCTGTGGTGAAACTACTTATTCTTAAGTTCTTTACAAAACAGGTTTAACTTATTGTGCCATCACAAATACTATTATCACTCAAAATAAACTCTTTTCACAATAAAAATTCATATTAGTTAAGAATATTGTATCTTATTTTTTGAACCATTGTAATCACCGTGAATTATCCCAAGCGTATATAATGTATAAAAGCCCTTTATTTGTAAACAAAAACTTGCCCCACCAATAAATTGGCTTTCGTTTCTGGTATGTAACGCACCTTTATCATTACTCGATTTAACATGAAATGGAAGCTTTTCTTTTGTACATATGCTTTCTACAATAGCCATAAGTACAGACGCTATTCTTACCATCTTTTTCTCATGAGTATTAAACCTTTACAGTAAAAGTATATTTTTTCGATCAAGGTATATACCGACAAACAAAAATTAGTTACCATCACTGCACACGCCTACTCTTCTTATTATTTACCGTTTCAAATATATATATATATCGATTATCCCTATTTTTTGCTGATATATACAACAGGGGGCCTAAAAAATATATAAAATAAAAAATCATAATAATGTGGCTTTATCATACAAAGAGAATGCGAGTAATTGTTTTCTAGTTGGTACATATTAAAACTTGCTCGTGGTCTTGGTGAAAAGTCGCACTTTTAACAAATATAATATGTTTTTAGAGTTGTTCTTGGTAAAATACGTGTATGCGTGCATGTGCGCTGGTGTATGATTGTAGTAATGTCGGTTGTAACTTTCGGGCATGTTGATGTGAATATGTATGGTTATTGAAAGAGATGCACACAGAAGAAAAATAAAATAAATAAATAAATAAATAAATAAATAAGAGTATTATTTTTGTTTATTCTGCTTGAAAATAAAACCCTCCGTCCTCATTCCTCAACTGGAATCATTGCACCAATGACTGTAACAAAAATTATTTTTCTTCAACTTTTCAACCTTTCAACAGAAAATATAAAGAATATCAAATATATATATATACCTTTTGCAATTGAGATTATTTGAACAATCTGTCGCCTCGGTTAAAGGGCAAGCAAGATACCAAAAAATAAATAAATAAATAAATAAAAAATATTCGTTTCAGTCGGCATTTATAATATTATTATTTTTTTATTTTTTTTTGAGAAATCAATATTTTATCAAAAAATAAAATTGATATAATTCTACTTTTCTCGACTTCTACTGATTGTATTTATATGCTTCTTGGCTCTATCGATAGCTAATAAAGAAGAGTAACAGAAAAGTGGCATTAGAGGCGCATTGTCGGCCTTTAGAATTTTTTCGGAGTTTAAATCAAGCTACGATTAGATAGCCGCCGGGATTTGGTATAGTGGGCAGGTCGGTAGATAATTAAAATAAATCGAATATTGCTGCTCAAGTATAACATTATCAATATATATTAAAAGAAAAATATTGAATTAATCTAAAAAAAAAACATGAGCTTTCACACAATTTTTTTGAGTATCATAATTTGGTATAAATGCAATAAAAACATTACAATAAAACAAAATAAAATAAAATAAAACTAAAAAGTTAAAAATATATATATATGAAATCTAAAGTAAAAAAGTAAAAAACAAAATAAAAAATATATATCTAATAGGGGGTTTCATTATCTGTTTTACATTTTATTTTTTGAGATATTATAAATTGAGAGATTTTTACCAGCTAATAATTAAACTTTTTCAATTCCAAAAATAAAATAAAATAAAAACTAAAACAGACAATAAATTGCCAAACTACATAAATTATAAAACTGGTTATAACAATAAATAAGAGAAGTTTAAAAGATTAATAATTTTAAAGTATAAATAAACACATTAAAACATTAAAATTTGCCTTTTTATTTCAATTAAATAATTCATACGAATTTTTGTGCTTAACTAATTTTAATAAAAAGTTACTCTAAAAATATGACATTTATAACTTTAGTTTATATCTCTTAAGATTTTGAATTTTAAGATAATTGTAATTAAATAAGTCTACTGTATTGCATGTAAAAAATTCTTACTGTATCTATAAAACTTTTTTGTTTTATATATATTTAAATCAATATAGATATATTAAAAGAAAAAATAAAAATTAACTAGTGTAATGTAAACTTATGCGAGGGAAAAGAAAATAAAAGCCAATATTTACACTAAATAAAGTATTTTAGTAAAATTTTATGACCCACAAGCGATTCGAACTGGAGACCTAGAGATTCACAACGGCACAATACAACAACTAAACTATACACACAAGTTAAGCAACAGCAACAAAAAAGTAAGTTTTATACGTTGTCCTTTAGATATATACACAATTATAAAGGAGATGAGAATATATAATTATTTTAAGATTAAGTATGATTAGAGTATTTAAGTTATATTTCTTGATATTATTAGATATAAATAGTATATTATTAAATATGAATTTGGTATAGATAAGTGTGAATTAATATGCTATGATAATAATATGTATAAGTTGGAGGATATTAAATGTTATGAATATATATAAGTTATAAATTAAATACTATTGGCTAATATTAGTGAGAGATCAAATACTATTGGCTAATATTAGTGAGAGATCAAATATTATTGGTTAATATTAGTGAGAGATCAAATATTATTGGTTAATATTGGTGAAAGATCAAATATTATTGGTTAATATTAGTGAGAGATCAAATATTATTGGTTAATATTAGTGAGAGATCAAATGTTACTGGTTAATATTAGTGAGAAATCAATATTATTGGTTAATATTAGTGAGAGATCAAATGTTATTGGCTAATATTAGTGAGAGATTAAATACTATTGGCTAATATTGATGAGAAATCAAATATTATTAGTTAATATTAATATTATATTAATTGTAATTAATTTATATATAAAATAGATCAGCTTTTATTAACTTATATAAGTAGCAGATTAGCCACTATTGATTTATATATAGGCTGGATCAGTTATTATCAGTTTATATATATATTGGATATACAATCATTGATTTACATATAGATCTGATTATTAATAATTAGTTTACATATAAACCAGATCAGTAGTTATTAGCTTATATATATATGAGATCAGCTATCATCCACTTATATATATATGAGATTGACTATCAATAGTTTATATATATATCAGATTGACTATTATCAGCTTATATATATATGAGATTGGCTGTTATCAGCTTATATA